TTTGCTCGAGCGTATTGTCGTAGTCCGCGACCGAAACGTTTTGACTATCCGAGTCCGACATAATTCTACCTAAAGGTCGGTCGGGAGTTAGTACAGGGTTCGGGAAGTTAGCTCGAAGTTAGTGCTATCCTACTTCTACGCTAAGTGGAGAATAAAGAAAGAGTAAAGAACTAGGAGCTTACCGAGTGAAGAAACTTGGAAGAGGATCTGAAGTTTTGCTTTGCTTGATCGGATTGCTGATCTGCTGCTCGGGACTCTCTGAGGGTACCGATTGCTTCAGAAGATTGAGGAAAGTTCAAATGAAGGCCTCAGGAACCTATTTATAGGAGAGCGTTTGGGCGGGAAAATCATCCACTTGCGCGACACGACCAGCGCTGATTCCGAGGCGACGGTTGCAGTCGCAGAGGCCGGCAGTGGCCGACACGTGGCGGAGAAGGGAATGACAGCTGGCCGGTCGGTTTAGCGGCCGACGGTTGGGCTTCTTCATCCCGGCCCATTTTTTCCCGGACGATCAAAAAGGCCCGGGCTGGGGGGCTCTTGGTAGGGAATATCCCGACCGACATAGCTTCACCACGACCGAGAAGCCTTTGTCTTTTTCTCTTTGTCTTTGCAGGTAACAGGTCGGGCTCCTTGAGAAGAACCCGGTCGTGGGCCGACCGGGAGTTGCCCGAGCGACGGTGTCGACCACCGAGCGGTAGCCCTTTGGCGAGAGAGCTGACGAAGGACACGTGGCGGCTCTCTACATCGACAGGCAGGGCACCCGGGAGGATGACACGTGGTGGCTACGTGGAGGACATGCCGAACGGCTGGAATCCTGTCCCCGGCATAGCGGCTATAAATACCCACAGTAGCTACAGTGGAGGGGACTTTTGGACGATCGATAGGTTGCTGTTAGAGAATCCCGACCGCAGTCAGTCGGCACTCAGAGCAACCAAGTAGATTGTACTTAGGGCCTTTACCGTGATCAATAAAGATATTTACTTGCTTTAATTGGTCTCGTGTTGTTATATATTGCTTACGTATAATTAGCAGTATCACGTAGCATTCAGTGTTGTTTCTTCTTTTTTTCTGAATTTTCCCATTTTTAGGACGATTGTTGTTCGGTTTGGAGTTTTTCTTTTGGTTTCTGGCACTTTCGCCAGTTTTAGACCTATCAAAACCACCACTTGTTTCAACCACATTAGCCTTAAGGGTGTCAGAAAAATTACCAGACTTTTGAACCATGCGGTTCTCTTCCTCTATATTGATAGTGTTGATCAGCTCTTGTAGGTTCTGATTCTTCAGTTCGTGCTTTGTTTTGTTCCTGAAGTCCAGCCATGACTCAGGCAATTTGTCAACCAGCGAGTCAGTCAGGAACGCATCGTTCACCAAAGCACCTTCTGCTTTCATATCAGCTACAAGATTCTCGAAGTCATGTACCTGTTCAGTGACGGTTTTAGCGTCTGTCATGTGGAAGTGCAGCCAACGATTCACAGCGTACTTTCGCCTTCCAACGTCATCAACACCATATTTTTGCTTCAACAGTTCCCAGATCAGTTTCGCAGATTTATTTGGTGCAAGCATGTCGAACAGCGCATTATTAACTCGCTGCAGTATGGTTGCGCGAGCTGTTTTATTGTCCTTCTCATATTGTGAGCGAGTTGTCTGGGAAACAGCAGAAACCTGTGCAAGCGCAGATGTTGATGTCGGTTCTGAAGGAGCAGCAGTCGACTTAGGATCAGTCGAATCCTTGGAGGCCGCTGGTGTTGCAGATTTCGCAGGTGACTGCACTGCAGGCTCAGCAAAGGTGGCAGGATCTTCAAGGATGACGTAATCCAGATCTTTGGATTCTAGCAGCATCAAAACCTTCGCAGCCCATCGCTTGTAATTCAACCCACCCATGAGAGGTTCAATTGGGGTAACATCAGAGGTGGAGTTGGTCTAAGACACTTTCTAGAGGCAAATGTTTTTAACTGTTGTGCTATGAGGCTCGAATGTCACAGACAGTATTCTGTATTTTATATAGCTGGACGAATGGTTTAGATAGTAGAATGTATCTGCGTCGTGTTATTACAAACACTCCCTTAAAAACATTTGCGACCAGGGAATCGCTTGTTTTCGACAAGGAACACAGATACGCAGAGATGAAAATTCTGCTTACACAGCTCAGGCGTAAGTTTTCTATTCGGGCTGTCTAATGGAGTTGGAAGAGACAAGTTATATACTGATAGCTATAACTGCCTCTTCCTTTTCAGCCATCCAGAAGAGCTACAGAATAGGAGAAGAAGAGGGATCGATGTTGCACGTTCAAATAACGTGTGTAGTGTGCGGACAAGGTGGTCAAAGTTCCCATAAAAATAGGGATTAAAAATATAAGGCGAGAGCAAAACTTTGACCCCACCACACCGCGCGTGCGAACCGAGCCGAGCGGGCGGCGGCGGCGACGCGCGCGAGATCTCCCCTTGTTCCCTCTCCATAACACTTCAAACCTTAGGAAAGGAGTTGGTGTTTAAATAGTGAGAAAAGGTAAGCTAGTCTTTCAATGTGGGACAAAGGGCAAAACTAAATATGCCTCTTAAATGCTCCCAACAGTTGATCCCGTGAGGTAATTTTTCAATATAAATAAAGCCATCATAGAGAGTTACAATATCTGAGCCAATAATATCTCAAAAGTGCTGATAAAATCTTAGGCTCATACAATATCTGGTCTATGGAAGGGAGCCATGGACTTCTTTTATATCCACAGCATGCACAAGAGAGGCATTTTGGGTAGTTGTAATAGAACAGGGGATGCAATCAAGGATAAGAGATATAATGCTAGCATTCTCTTTGGTAACTCATCTGCCTTTCTCTTTTTTTAATTTCTCAATTTTATTAATGCTAAGACATAAAAATTCAAGTGTATTGTATTAACACTGAAAATCTTGTACAAGGTAAAAAAATGTGTAATTATGTAATGTGGGTACAATAATCTATGAGGAAATCCTTTTATTCTTTTCTTGATTTAAACACTTCACGAACACTTAATTTTTTGCTTGAAATTCACTTGTAGATCAAACACTTCGCCACAAATAAATTTGGCTCGATTGCAAAGAACTTGACACTTGAAATGCTTGAGTTTTGAACACTCGAGCTTGAAATACTCAAGATTTGATACTTGAAACGCTTGAATCGGAGTACTTAGATCCGGAATACTTGAAACTTGATACTTAAAATACTTGAATCGAGTACTTAGACTCAAAATACTTGAAACTTATACTTAAAATACTTGAATTGGAGTACTTAGACTCAAAATATTTGAAACTTGATACTTGAACTTGAGACTTTAATACTTCAAATCTGGAACACTTTAATCGCTTGTTCTCCGTCCCCTTTCACTTGAAATAAGACATCTATTTATAGCATGAGAAACACATCCACACCACTCATTTGAAATTCTAATTCAAAGGAATTTTGAATTCAAATGCATTCAAACTTTAACTAAATTATCTAAAATATTAAATATATTTAGTAAAGTTATATATATATATATATATATATATATATATCACTGTGAATCATTGGCCAAACATATAACATTTCGGCCATCAGAAATATGTAATAGATAGGTCCAACAACAACTTGTAAGTCAATCGGCCCAATCGTTCATAGTACTTCATCAATCATTATGGTCCACACAAGTTGAGACAATATTTTGTATATTGTAAAATAATGTACATTATATTCAGAGAATTTATATTATTTTTATACTGAGTGTACATTATAATATTATATGGTATAATGTACATACAATACAAAAATAATATACATTTAGTATATTAAAAATGTATTTTTTATAATGGTCCACGTAATATTGTATGGACCATGGTCCACACAATAAATTGCCTTCATAGTTAGGGATGGCAACGGGGCGGGGCGGGGGCGGGGAGTATATTCCCCATCCCCGTCCCCGCGACCCCGTCCCCATCTCCGGCGGGGAATTGGAAATGTTCCCCATCCCCGTTCCCGCGGGGAATTAGACGGGGTCGGGGAATCTCCATTCCCCGTCAACTCCTAGTCAAAATGCTAAATAACTTTAATTTTTAATAATAAAAATTTAAAATTTAAGTATTAGTTTCAAAAATTAAAATACTAACTAACTAACTCTCTCTCTCTCTCTCTCTCTCTCTCTCTCTCTCTCTCTCTCTCTCTCTCTCTCTCTCTCTCTCTCTCTCTCTATATATATATATATATATATATATATATAAAGTACTAACAGGATACTATATATATATATATGTGTGTAATGAACTATATATATATAGTTCATTACACACACACATATATATATATAGTATCCTGTTAGTACTTTATATATATATATATATATATATATATATATTATAATGAATGTTGACACAGTATATATATAAAGTACTAACACTATACTATATATATATATATATATATATATATATATATATATATATTATAATGAATGTTGACACAGTATATATAATTGGCAGTTTTGCAGTGTACTTTTATATATACTTAAATTTTATATATATATATAAAATTATTCGGGGATGGGTATCCCCATCCCCATCCCCGTCCCCGTCCCTGGCGGGGAATCACACATATTCCTCATCCCCGTTCCCGTACCCCGAAAATTTTTTCCATCCCCGTCTCTTTCGGAGCGGGGATCGGGGATCTCCGTCCGGGACGGGGCACATTGCCATCTCTATTCATAGTACAGCTAATTCTAATGGGTTGTAAATTTCAATAATCACAATTAGTGTACTAATCATCCATCATTTCACATATATATTAGTGTCACCATTTGACAGAGGTGTGAAAATACTTGGAATTAGTGTCACCATTGTGAGTAGATTAGGAAAACTTTGGTCATATATAAATAACTTTTCAGACTTATGTACTAATCATCCATCATTTCACATATATATCATTATCATTAAGTTGTATAATTGTGTCCCCCAGTCAAAGTAGTACGTCCAACCACACTAGTGCAACCATTTTTCAAGTCTCATTCTACTCACTTGTATTCATAGTGCCTTAATTGTATTCGAATAGTACTAAAATACTCACTTGATCGACTCTCTTTTTATATATATAGTATATAAACAAAGACTTGCATCTATCTTAGCCTAATTTTCACTATCAAAAATATACTTTATATTTTATATATATATATACACACACACATTATTTTTACTATATATATATACGTCTAGATGTTTCAATATAATTCAACCTTATATATTAAGCTGCTGCTTTCCCTCAAACAAAACTAGGTTTTGATCTATTAATATTGTTCATGTCTTGTCTCTCTTCATTTACATTCTTGCATTCCTCTTCTTCCTTTTCTTCATCATCTTCCGCATCCCACAAAAAGCGTGCATATGATGCCAAAACATAGCTGTATTGTAAACACATAATAACTTAATCAGATAATGACCCAGTTTCATAAAATAGTTAGTTTATTAATCAATTTTGTCTTATTTAATATAACTACTATTAGCTTTTTATATTAGCTTATTGCTTCAAAATGTTAAAACTCAAAAAATGCACCTTTCTCCATTAGCTTTTTAAAAAAAATCATTTTACATCTAATCAGTTATTAACAGCCAATTTACCAAATCACTTTTCTACAATTCAGCTAATGCTATGAAATAATCAAACATACTAATCCAATCAGCTAACAATTATTTACCAAACACCAACTAGTTACTCATAAAAATTTAAAATTGTGCAATTTTTGGGATGCATTTTGATGTCTTACCAATCATCAGGAGCAGCTTTGATAGCTTGATCAAAATAAGTCTCTGCTCGAATTGGGTCTTTGTGTGATTGCCATAACAAATCAGCATATAGTGCCAGTATATCCCCGTCGCTTGGATTTGCCAAGATTGATCTACCACAATACTCTTCCGCCTTCACAAAGTCGCATTTAACCTGCAGTATTTGAGAAAATAGACCAAGTACCAAGTTATTTGAGAGAAGAGACCAAGTGTTGAAACTTGGTAGTTCCAGTGTGGAGATTATGCCCAAATGAACAGTTTTCTTGTGCGCACAAACATTTGATCATGTTTATTGAATCAGTTACTGTGATTTATATTATCTCGGGTCAGGATGTGGGACTTTTAGGGTTGGGAATTCAACCTATTTGAGAGAAGAATAATGTGTATATTATTGATGATAATGAGTTTTTAGTTTTTATATTACCTCTTTCAAGAATCTTGCATAATTGCCCAGGAGCAAAGAATTCCCAGGATTGGCTTCGATCATCTTCTGGTAATAGAGATCAGTGCTCTCACTTCCTTGATTAGGATCCCAATGCTCAGACCCATTCCCATCTCCATTATCTCCGTCACCGCCTCCACTCCCGCCGCCGCATATCCTCCTTCCATCGCCGCCCCCATCGCCTCCGGCCATCGTCTCCGCCGCCACACTCCTCCTCTGCGCCGCCTCCTCTTCATGACTAGCCTCGCACTCCTGCACCTCCTCTGCTCTCAACCCGGAGTTGGAAAGCACCAAAACCCGATTCTTCTGCCTCATCACCCTCTCCTCCTCCTCTTCTTCTTCCTCGTCAACCGGAATTGCAGAAAGCAAGCCATGCATGCACATGCACATGCACTTTTTTGACGGCGGCGGTGGAGGCGATCTCATGCTGATGAGATCTGTTTCTGAGAGAGCTCTGGGCATTTTCTGCTGAGAACCACCGCCCCATGACGACGGCGAAAACGAGGATGCCGATGAGGATCTTGAAAGCTTACGCGTGTGAAGAGAGAAATCCAGGTCTGGAGATGAGTTCTGGGTTGACAGCCATGGCGAATGGCACTTCAGTTGTATTGGGGTTGAAGAGCTTCTAAGAAGCATTTTTTTTTAGTAACCTTAAAATATACTCCGTATTTTCTTTATTTTCTGTACGAGAAACAGGTTGATGAATGTTTTGGTCTGATTTCAAGGGAGAATGAGGTTTTTATAGGGAGAATGAAAGGTTGTTTTTCGGTGGTTTAATCATAAGCTCCAAACACTATATATATAAAGATACAAAAAGAAAAAAGGTTAATATATACTACGTGTGCGGACGGAAAATCTACACAATATAATGCCACAATATGAATAGTTACAATTCCGCCATCCTATCATGGGAACGTAAAATGCAAGTATAAAAAAAAATAATATTATAAATTCTTTACTAATTATACTGATCGTATGATATTATAGTCTAGTGACGTCAAATTGTTCTTTTCATATGGAAAATTGTGAATTTGACTCTTAGTGAAGACAGATAGTTGTTTTGTAACTACAAAATTTTAAATTTGATTTCCTATGAGAATTATCTTTTGGTCTTCAGAATTTGAGCTGATTAACTATGAGTAACCAAACATTTCCAAATCTAGTTAATTTGAGAACAAAATTTTTTTAAGACACGAAAACGTTAATCTTGCAGAGTTTTAGTATAATGTAAATTGTATAGCATGATTCATTATGAATAGAACTCCTGCACATCACATGATTGATGTTACTTTTCCAATTCCGAACTTCAAAACTCCCCAAGTTTAGGTCCCTGGTTTTCTAAGTTCTAACGAACAGGGAAAAAAAAAACCGGTCAAACGGTTTGGGGCCGGTTGTTGTGTCAGCCGGAGGTGGACCCACGTGTGATAATCACGTGACCGATGAGCCATGGAAAGCCGCCTGTCAACCTCCACGATTGTACTTTCACGGCCCTAATTCGTCCGGTCACGTGACAGGCCTCTTGTGCCGGAAAAGGCCAAAACAGCCGGCGAGCATTACCATCGGCGGTGAGAGCGAAAGCAGAGATTTTTCACTGGTTTCGAGTGCCCATCAGAAAAAGCCCTTCAATCGCGAGAGAACCGCGAGAATGCCACTCTGTTAATTTAGCAATTATTATAGAGTAAATACTCAAAATGGTCGCTCAACTATAACTAAATTCACAAATTGGTTTTCGACTTTTAATTTCAACCAATTAAGTCCTTAACTTTGTAATTTTAACACAATTTGGTCCTCTGTCTATTTTCTTTTTTGAAAATTTTCTGCGGTGCTTCATTAGAAAAATGCTGAAATAATGTCTGGTGGGTGAGTATCCCAGTACATAGTAACAGGTTGCTGATAAGCCGTAGTGGCTAAAGCATGAGCTAAATAATTGTCCGATCTAGAAATATAATTAAAAGAACATGAGTGAAAATAAACGGCAATTTGCCTGCAGCTATCAATGGCATAGCCAACGTAAGAGCGAAACGCAGTGGTTGATGATGTAAGGTAGCGTTGTAGTGTCAAACAATCCGTGTAGATCTCAATATTCTGTTCACCTCGATCCTTTAGCCATGATAAAACTTCCTTACACGCCAAAGCCTCAGCCATAAGTGGTGACGTACAGGCCGGTAGCAGCGCGGTTAGTGTCGAGATATAGGCTCCATCTCCATCTAATAAAACGGCCCCTACAGTTGCATTCCCTGTCTCGTGTAGATATCCCGCATCGACCCTGCATCTTCTCACTGGCGGCACAGAGGATCCGGCGGCGTCGGCAGCACCGCGGCCGGCGGTGGGACTCGCCTGGGCAGCGTGGCGGTTTTCTGTCGGCAGCGTAGCAGTGGCAGTGGCAGCCACGGCTGGGCGGGACTGAGTCCATGCGGTCTTGGCTGCCGCTGCGGCTCTGAGTAGGGACCCCGGGCGTGGTAAAAACACCTCCCAAACTGCACCATTTCGAGCTTTCCAAATATTGTATAGAATTGATGCTGCATATAACATTCCATCAGAATCTAAAATATTTAGAAGTTCCCCAAACCAAACATGAAAAATATCCGTGACAATATTGGGGATTGTAAGGTTGGATTGATCCCAAATGTTTCTTGCAAAATCACACAAGACTAATGCATGCATTGTATTCTCATGTGATATCCCACACATAGCACAATATGGGTTCACCTCCACCCTCTTTAAAAGCAAGTTCGTAGTTGTAGGCAAAATATCACAAATAGCTCTCCAGAGGAACATTTTCCACTTTGGTGGAATTTTTAGTCTCCATAAAGCTAACCAATTAGTAAAGGGGCCTTGATTATTCTCATAATCTCCCACTAATCGTCTGTACCCGCTTTTCACAGAATATAATCCTCTCGGGTCTCCGTACCAATACCATGCATCATTATAATCCCGGGATACAGGTACTCTCATAATTCTCTCGACATCCGTAGGTTGAAATAAATCTGATAAAATTTCATTATCCCATGTACCAGTTTGTTGATCTATTAGCCCCACTACTCTGGCCTCTCGTAACTGTATAGGCATCTCTGTTTGTATCATAGGGTCCTGGTCATCCAGTAACCATGGATGGGTCCATATAGATGTAGTTTCCCCATTCCCAATTCTTCGTCTGACCCCACTACAAATTATGCTCTTTGATGCCATTATACTCCGCCAACAAAAACTGGGATTATTTCCTACCTGCGCATCAAAGAAAGTATCCCTGGGAAAATATCGGCTTTTGTAAACACGAGCTACTAAGGAATCAGGCTTAGTGAGCATTCGCCATGCCTGTTTCCCCAACATAGCTAGATTAAATGCACGTAGGTCCTTAAAACCCAATCCACCATACTTCTTAGGAACACATAGCTTGTCCCAAGCCTTCCAGTGAACTCGGTTGTCCGTCCCAGAACCCCACCAATATCTATTCATCGTTCTTTCTATAGCCGTGCATACTGATATAGGTAGCAAAAAAACACTCATTGAGAAGGTAGGCATAGATTGTGCCACACTTTTCAACAGTATTTCTTTCCCTGCCTGAGACAATAGCCTTTTATTCCACGACCCAATTCTTTGGCGTATTTTATCCTCAATATATGCAAAAGCTGCCTTTTTATTCCTACCCACAAACGAAGGTAGACCCAAATACTTGCCAAAGTTTGGTGCCTGCTCCACCCCCAAAACTTGGGCCACACTTTCCCTATCCACATTACTCGTATTCCTGCTATAACAAATACTCGACTTGTGGTAGTTAACCACCTGTCCCGATAGATCCTCATATACAGTCAGGCATTTCTTTATCTCGTTAGCCTCTTCCACATTAGCCTTAAAGAATAAAAGGCTATCGTCCGCAAAAAACAAATGAGAAATCTGAGGGGCACCTCTTGCTACCCTACATCCATGAATTAATCCCGCTCTGTTAGCCTGTTGTAGTAACAACGAGAGTCCCTCTGCACAGATAATAAACAAATATGGGGATAGTGGGTCTCCCTGTCTCAAACCACGCGTGGGTATTATTGGGTCACTCCTTGAGCCATTTATCAGAATACTATAGGAGACTGTGGTCACACATTTCATAATCAAATCAACCCATCTATCATGGAAACCCAATGCCATCATCATATTACGGAGAAAAGGCCACTCCATTCGATCATACGCCTTAGCCATATCCAGCTTAAGTGCACCCCAGCCCCTCAATCCACACTGTTTTCGATTCAGAAAGTGTCCCACTTCTGCAGCTAATAGAATATTATCTGTTATCAATCTATCTGGGATAAAAGCACTCTGTGTCTCAGATATTATTCCTTCCATCAAAGGCTTCATTCTATTAGCCATCATTTTAGCTATTATTCTGTAAATGACATTGCTAAGTGCTATAGGGCGCAAATCAGTTACTAACTCTGGATTACTCTTTTTAGGGATCAACACAATATCTGTCTCATTCAAGCCAGACGGGAGGTCACCTGATTCAAGACAGTTTAGCACAAAACTCGCAACATCCCCTCCTACCACATCCCAGAAATGCTGATAAAACCCCGGATTCATTCCATCCGGTCCCGGTGCTTTATCCGGATACAATGCAAACAATGCATCCTTTACTTCCTCCAGATTAAATGGCCGTAATAGTGAGTCATTCTGCGCCTGTGATACCCTGGGTTCTATCCCCCCAAAAAAATCATCTCCAGTTCCCGGACCCCCAGAGCTGAAAATATTCTTAAAATAGTCCAGAATGATATCTCTCATGGGATCCCCCTCCAACCAATCCCCATTGTCATTCATTAATCTAAGTAAAGTATTCTTTTTCTTTCGGTGAGAGGCATACCTGTGAAAGAATTTGGTATTGGCGTCAGCTTCCTTGAGCCAGTGGTGCTTGGCTCTCTGCCTCCAGTATGCATCCTCCTGGGCCTCAGTGCGACTCAGAAGTTGCTCTATTCGCTGAAACTCGACAAGAGAGGCCGAGTCAGTGCATCCTCTCAAACGTTGTTGATCCCGTTTCAGCTGCACAATCTGTTTCCCATACTTATGGAACCGATCCCCACCCCATCGTGTTAACCGGTTTCCACAGTATTGAACACAACCCTGTAAACCCTGCCCTCTCCCTTCCTGCCACGCCTGCTCCACCACACCCCTACATCCCTCATCATATAACCATGCCATCTCAAACCTAAAACCCCTTCTTCTAACCCCATCTCTCCCTACCTCCTCCTGAACTGTGAAAAAAATGGCTGAATGATCTGACTTCCTGGTTCTCAAATTCATAACCTTTACATGGGGAATTATATTGCGCCACTCGTTCGTTACTAGGACCTTATCAAGTCTCTCCTCAATCCAGTTTGCAGTCCCTTTCCCCTTCTCCCAGGTATATGGGTATCCAATCATTGGCAACTGGGCCAATCCACAATCCTCAATCGTCTCCCCAAAACCTCGAAGAAGGCAATTCGGATGTGGATTTCCCCCTCTCTTCTCATACTGGTATAGCAAATCATTAAAATCCCCCACCACCACCCACGGGAGATTCGATTTTGCCGCCAACATTCTCAACAAATCCCATGATTCAGCACGCCTATTACGGTCCGAATAACCATAGTAACACGTCATTCTCCAGGCCGGATTACCTGTCATAGTTACCTCAATATCAACGTAGTTTCTTGAGTAACTAAGGAGTCTCGCCGTATTATTCTTCTTCCACAATAACGCTAATCCACCACTCAAACCATCATT